GAAAAACGAGCCCGGCACAGGCCCGGCACCCTGCCGGCCGGCAACTCCCAACGCCTGCCCGGACCCCCCTGTGGAGTGATCTGTGAGCTCTTTTGAGTCAACTAGAAACCTATCAGTCTACGCTGTTAGGTAAAGAAAGAAGTAAAAATGAAGAGGGAGAGAGAAAGGGCGACGACAAGGACGATGGAGGACGGGACCAACCGAAGAGGTGTGTGAGGACGGCGACATCCACTGAAGAAGACAACGGGCGAAGACGACGACGAACCTAGGACGGAAATGGAAGGAAAATCGTAATACCCCGACGCAGAGTTGTTTTACGATGATGTGGACGGTAGGAAATCTTGACCTCCTCACCCGCCAGACCATTCTTTCATCCTGCATCGTTTTGCCGGTCCCAGGGCCAAACAGACCCACAAAATGTAAAACAACAATTGCGCTGCGTCTTTTCGAATACGCGAGGGGGTATATATGGGTATAGGTTTAGAGAGAGCGCGCCCACAGCGCCGGAGCAAAGGGGGAGGGTCCCCCCTTAGCTACCCCCCCTCCCTTCCACCTCCCCTGCTGGAAGCCCCCCACCCCTCCCCCCCTTTTTCGCTTCCCCCATGAAGCTCCCCCCCCCCCCTTCCCCCCGTTTCGCCACTCCGAAGCTACGCCCCCCCTGCCCACCTTTCCAAAGGGAGGGGGGATTAGCTACCCCCCCCCTCCCCTGGACCCCCCTCTGCTGGAAGCTCCCCCCCTCCCCTCTTTGGTTCCAAAGGGGGGGGGGCTTAGCACCCCCCCCCTCCCCCCTTTCGGCTCCCGGGAAGCTACCCCCCTCTCCACCATTTACGAAAGGGGATGGGAGCTTAATTACCCCCCATCTTGACCCCCCTCTGCCGGAAGACCCCCCCTTCCCTCCATTTTTCTCCCCCCTGCCGGAAGCTCCCCTCCCTCCCCCCCTTTCCAAAAGGAGAGGGGCGGCTTACCTACCACCCCCTCCCTTGAACTCCCCCTGCCGGACGATCCTCCCCCGTCGCCGTCGTCGTTGCCGTCGCCGTCGCTCGACGTCTTCGTACGACGCCGTCGTCGTCCTCGTCGTCGTCGCCGCCGTCGCCGTCATTGTCGCCGTCTTCGTATGACCTCGTCCTGGTCGTCACGACGAGGACGAGAGGTCATATGAAGACGGCGACGGACGACGGACGACGCACGACCGACGACGACCCAGGGTCAGAGAAAACGAGACCACGACCCAGGGGCTGAGAAAACGAGGAAACGAAGCAGGGTCTGAGAAAACGGGAAAACAAACCAAGGTCCGAGAGAACGACCCAGGGGCCGACAAAACGAGACCACGACCCAGGACCAGAGAACACGCGAAAACAAACCAGGGTCCGAGAAAACGAGACCACGACCCAGGGGCCAAGAAAACGAGACAACGAGAAAACAAACCAGTGCCCGAGAAAACGAAACCACGACCCAGCGGCCGAGAAAACGAGACAACGAGAAAACGAACCAGAACCCGAGAACACGAGAACACGACCCAAGGGCCAAGAGAACGAGAAAACGAACCAGGGCCCGAGAAAACGAAACCACTACCCAGGGGCGAAGAAAACTAGACAATGAACCAGGGTCCGAGAAAACGAGATAACGACCCAGGGGCCGAAAACACGAGAAAACGAACCAGGGTCCAAGCAAACGAATCACGAAACAGGGGCCGAGACAACGCGAATATCGGTCAGTGAAAAGCGAGACCACGACCCAGGGGCCGAGAAAACGAGAAAACAAAAACGAACCAAAGTCGGAGAAAACAAAGACTACAACCCGGGGGGCGCGAAAACGAGAAACCAAACCAACGTCCGAGAAAACGAGACCACGACCCAGGGGCCGAGAAAACACGGAAAGAGAAAACGAACCAGGGTCGGAGAAACCTGGACCACGACCCAGGGGCCGAGAAAACAAGAAACGAGAACACGAACCAGGGTCAGCGAAAACGAGACCACGGCCCAAGGGCAGAGAAAACGAGAAACCGAGAATACTAACCAGCACCCGGGAAACCAAAACCACGACACAAGGGCAGAGAAAACAAGCAAACGGGACAACTAACCATTGTCCGAGAAAACCAAATCACGACCCAGGGGGCCGAAAAAACGAGAAAACGAACCAGGGCCCGAGAATACGAGACCACGATCAGGGGCAGAGAAAACGAGAAAACGAAACGAGGTCCGAGAAAACGAGACCACGACCCAGGACCAGAGAAAACGTGAAAACGAGAAGTCAAATCAGGGTCCGAGAAAACTAGACCACGACCCAGGGGCCGAGGAAACGAGAGAACGCGAAAACGACCCACGACCCAGGGGCCGAGAGAACGAGAAAACTAGAAAACGAACCAGGGTCCGACGAAACCGCGACCCAAGGGCCGAGATCACCAAAAAACGCCTGTTTCAAGAAAACGAGACCGCGACCCAGGAGCCGAGAAAACGAGGAGACGAGAAAACGAAGCAGGGTCAGAGAAAACGAGACCACCACCGGGCCGAGGCAACGAGAAATCGAGAATACTAACCAGCGCCCGAGAAAACAAAACCACGACCCAGGGGCCGAGAAAACGAGAAAAGTAGGCAGGGTCCCAGAAAACGAGACCACGACCCAGGGGCCGAAAAAAACGAGAAAACGAGAACACGAACCAGGGTCAGAGAAAACGAGACCGCGACCCAGGGGACGAAAACACGAGAAAAGAAGAAAACGAACCAGGGGCCGAGAAAACGAGAAAACGATAAAAGGAATCAGGGCCCGAGAAAACGAGACTACGAACCAGGGGCCGAGAAAACACGAAAACAAGAAAACGAACCAGGGGTCGACGGTATTCTCCAATGGGTTCAGCCATTTTGCCTTAACCCCAGAGGGAGGGGGAGGGGTTAGCTTCGGAAGCCCGCCCCCCCATTGCAAAGGAGGGCTGAGGGGGGTAGCTTGAAGCCGCCCCCCCCGTGTCCAGAAGGAAGGAGGGGGGGGAGCTTCCCAAGACCCCCCCCTTTGAAAGGGAAGCCCGGACTCACCTTCTGCTCAGGGAAAGGGAGGGAGGGGGGGGATGGCCCCTCCCCTTTAGCCAGGGCCCCCTAGCTTAGAAACCCTTACAGAAGGGAGGGGGGGTGGGGTAGCTTCGGAAGCTCCCCCCCCCTTTGGAAGGGAGGGGGGGGGGTAGCTTGAAGCTGGGGCCCTCCTTTCCTTGTTCCCGGCGCTGCGGGCGCGCTCTTTCATAGGTTACCCCAATGTTTGCCTCCGACGGCCGACTCGGGGCGATCTGGGCTTCCCCCGGGACGCCTGCGGCGAGGCGCAGCTGATGAAATGGTTTCGAGGCGAGACAACCTTCGAGGACCAACGAACTACGAAGGAGCCTGGACGAGGATCAAATCAGGTGAGGATGAAGCGAGACTCTCTGAGGTCCGGCGGCTCTGGAGGATGTCTCGGGCGCCCTGGCCTTCTCAGAACCTTCCGGAACGCTCTGAGGGCGTTCTGGAACGCTTTGGAACGCTTCATGATTAATCCTTGCCCTAGCCCCGTCCGGCGAACACCTCCGAAACCATCCGAAGACCAAGACATCCGACGATGTGTCCTTCCCAATGCGCTGCCCCTGAGGTCCCGACCCCATCCCTGGGGCCAGTGCCTCGTCCCGAAGCCATTTCTGGTGGCCCCAATGCCCGATAACGGGCCCCAGGGGCCGACATCCAAGAAAAACGCTGGGATTGAAACAGATCATACTGCCGGAGATCTGGAAGTCAGCAGAACTGAGGGGGAACGATGAAGGGCTGGCGAGGGTGATAAGCATCGAGTTGGAATCCGCCATACATCGCGGATAGCTCGGCGACAGACCCCAATAGCGAATCTTCACGTTCCTAGGCGGGGTGGGCTATCAGGCCCCTATCGGTGATCCATCCATCCTGAACTCCTCCCGCTTTTCGAGCGGGGCGCGCCAATGAAAGTGGCCAAGGATGGACCGAGGAGGGAAGAATGCAAAGGTAGAGTTGGAATAGTTGCCCATCCCTACCGTGCGGGTCGACTGTGTACCTCGGTCCGACTGTACAGTCGCAATGGTGCTGCCATGAAGATCGCCGAAGAAGGAGCGAAGGCGAGGTTTTCCATCCACGGCCCGCCTCGGCCACGAATAACAGTTGCCCCGACCTAGATCTCGAAGTGACGGCCCGCAAAGCAGAGCCACTCGCGCAGTCGAAACGCTGTCACAAGAAACCTCGAATAAGGAACGAACCCTATTTTTCTTTATACGCTGAGGTCCGACTTCCCACAGGGAGCCTGAGGACCTTTCAAGACAAGCTAAAAAGCAAATAAGGGACACTGAGCCCCTCGCCAACGAAAAAGGCTCCCTGAGCGACCCGACCGTAAGCCCAGTGTGGTCCCCATCTCAGAGCTTTGACTGCAGGCGAGCGACGACGAGGACTTCTGCCAACGCGACAGCGGGGATTCCTGAACGCCGCGGCTCCTCCGCCTCCTCCTCCTCTTCCTCTTCCTCCTCCTCCAACTCCTCGAAAGATGCATCAGCGCCGTCGGCGTGGAGCAAATCGGGTTCCACATCGCGAAGCATCGCTGATGCATCGGCGACGCGGCGCGATCCTCCGACCCCATCTACTCGGACCCCATCTGGGGCGCCTGGAGCCCAAAGCCCCGACTTCGTCATGTTTTTCGCGGTCTCGACCCCAAAAATCTCCACCCATTCTGGTCAACAACCTACCGTAATACATCTTGCGCGACGCGATCCCCCAACCTATCTACACAGACCACACTTGGGCAACCTAACACACGCTGCCCAAAAATCGGCGACAACGACAACGACGACGCCGAAGACACGAAAACGACGACGACGACGACGACGACGGCGACGGCGGCGGCGGCGGCGGCAACGACGACGACGACGACGACGGACGACGATGACAACGACGACGACGACGATGACGACGGACGACGACGACGACGACGGACGACGACGACGCCGACGACGACGACGGGTCGGCGCGGGCTCTCCCAGGCGCCGAACCGCCACCGCCGCCAGGCGCCACCTTCGGCGGCGGCTCCAGCGACTGCGCGGGAGCGCGGCGCGCCCCAGCTTTTTCTGGGGACCATGCCGTCCCCGACGCTGGAGGGAGGATGGGGGGAGGGGCTGGGTGGGCAGGGGGCGGCACGAGAGATGGGGGAGATGGAGGGAGAGACAGGGTTGGTGAAGAAATTGTTCTGATAATGTATATATGTATGTATATAAGCATGTCTGCATTTATGATATATGTGCATGTATGTGTGTATGTATGTACGTACGTACGTACGTACGTACGTACGTATGTATGTATGTATGTATGTATGTATGTATGTATAAATATGTGTACATAGAGCGCTTCGCGCGCAGGTTCTAGCTAAGCTTCACGGTCGAACTTTGAAGACCTCTATTTTGTGACCAATCCCTCTGGGGAGCCCAAGAACTACGCCAACGGCTCAAGTAATTTCCTAGATCTCCTGAGGCCATTCGGCAGCGTCCTAAGAATGGGCCAAGAAATCGTCGTCGTCGTATAACTGTTTATGTTCGGATCCACAAGAAGACCTTTCCAGACCCCTTTGGGAGACCTCTTGGAGGCCGTCCTATCCGGTTTGAACCATCTTGGGGCCTCGTTTGGGCCTCTTGGGGGTCTCTTGGGGACCTCTTGGGTCCTCCTGGGGACTTTTGGGGCCTCCTGGGAGGCTCTTTGGGCGGACGGCTGCTACTTTCGAGTCGGAATTCCCCTATTGGATACCGCCTGGAGCCGTCTTAATCGGCCATTGGGCCGTCTTGGCGCCCTTTTGGCTATCTCGGGGGCCTCTTGGGAGCGTCTTCGGTTCGCTTGAGGGAGTCTCGGGGGCCTCTTGGACCGTCTTCAAAGCCGTGAAAGTCCCATTTTTTCCGCGCAACATTTTGGGAGAAGGAGGGGCATGAGGTAGGGGACGATCGCAACTGAACTCGAGTAACACGTGCACTCCTTGGCGAGACGCGGCAGGGCCTGACCAGCAGCTTTTTTTACAACAACATCCCAGAAGTAAAAAAGCACCGGCGGGAGGAGGAGAAGAGAGGAGGACGAGGACGAAGACAGAAAGGAAGACGAGGAGGGAGAGTGAACAGCGTGGTTGCCAAGAGCGGCTGTCACGCACACAGGCTGCTTAAAACCCTGGCCCATGCCAGAAGTAAAAAAGCACCGGCGGGAGGAGGAGAAGAGAGGAGGACGAGGACGAGGACAGAAAGGAAGACAAGGAGGGAGAGCGGGCAGCGTGGTTGCCAAGCTGTCACACACATCGGCTGCTTAAAACCCTGGCCCATGCCAAAAGTAACAAAAGCACCAGCGAGAAGGGGGGGATGGAGGGGAGGAGGAAGGACGGCAGGAGAGAAGGAGGAGAGGGGAGCAGGAAAACAACATAATACAAATATGGACCGAATTCGTATTATAGCATAGCGCGTGGTTGCCACAAATTTGCGTTGAGAAAGAAACCGCCGTCGCCGACAGACCATGTGTCCTGCGAGCGTGGCCGAAACTCGGGGCGGAAATTGGGGCGGTTGTTCGCCTTAGCCCGAAAGCCTGAAACAAGCGGGGCTGGCTCCCAAATTTCACTTCACGAAAGGATATGGTGAATCAGCTAACTCATATGTGAATTTGATCACGTCGCGGATGGACCGCATGTCGGCGAAAGGGAGGGGAGGGGGAGAAGGGAAGGCTACGAAACCCGCGGCCGCCGCTGGGCGGAGCGCAGCAGGGACTCGAAAGCTGAATCTCGGGCGCCTTCGCGCAGCAGGCCGGGAAGGGCGGCCGCTACAGCCCCGGCGCGCACGGCGCCACAGAGGGCCTTCCCATGAGCTCTGTACACCGCGAACACTGTGAACGCCCGTAAAAGAATCGCCTCTTCCGCATCATTCTCGCCGCGCCAGGAGCGGCGGGAAGGCCCCAAGGTTCAGGAAACGCGCCAGTTCGCAGGCGCTGGCCGTGCCAGACCGGCGTGGCGCGAGCAAAACGAGTGGTGGGAGACACAAAAGACGTAGTGCTCGATGGAATCCTCTCCGCGGCCGCAGCCGAGCAGGCAAACCGCCCTGCCCTGAAAACGCCGCGCCGTGCACCACCCGTTGAAAGCCGCGCGGACGAAAGCGGCGCACAATCGGGGATGGGGCCCGACGCGCCAGCAACTGGCAGACTGCACTCAGCCGGTCGGCCCGGAACCGTGGAAAGAGATCAATGGACCACCCAGTTAATTTGACCTGGGCGTGAGCGCGAGCAGGGCTGCCCGAAGGCCTCAGGATCATCAGCGCCCGGCGCTGCCATGATTCCCTGCCCTCGTCGTCCATCGGGTCCGCGTCCAGCAAAGACGAATCGAGGTTACGCGCCCGCTCCGCCGCCTCGACGGTGCCCGCCGCCTCCAATAGCCAGAAGAGGGAGCGTGAACGGATCCTCGATACAGTCTGTAGAGAAGCGTTGTCTGACGAATGAAATCGTTCGAATAGTCGGCGCGCCCGGTCACGAACTCGAAGGCCACCGCACTTTCTGTCCTCGCACAGCAAAGTCCGAGCCGCCGCGGCCACTGCGCAGGAATCCAGGGAGGTGAACTCGAAATTTAGCCCGAGGTCTTTGATGGATTGCAAGGCTGGCGCAGACATCCAGTCCCCTTGGCCCGGGACCAGGCGAAGCTGCACCTGGGCCTCCACTTGAAGAGCCTGCTCAGGAACCCGCTCAAGCTGAGCCACGAAAAGAAGGACGCTGAGGACATAGGTGCGGTAGGCCGCGGCCGTCAGGTATAGGCCTGCGCCGATCGACTTCCGCAGCTTTCCGCGTTCCTGGAATTTGTTCAGCGGTGCGTCCCATGAGCGCGCCCCGCGGCCTGGCCCAACCTTATGCCCAAGATGCCTCGCATGCGACGCGATCCCGAGCTGGCCCGACTCGGGAACAAGCGCCGCCATGGCGGATCGCAGCTCCACCAGGTCGCATTCTGAGACTGGGACAGATAGCGCCTTCGCAATATTCAGCCGGAGGCCCAACATCTGGCCGAAATCACGAAGATGGACGCCAAGACGGGAACTGCGTTGAGCCCGCCGCGCAGGAACGCCGCTGCGTCATCCGCGCACGCGCGGCGCAGAGACCTGCAGAGACGGCGAATCCGCTCGAGGTCGGACGCGGCAGCGAGGGGCAAAGGGGAGAGCGGGCGGCCCTGCCAAACCCCCCGCGTGGCCACGAAGCCGTCGTACAGCGCCCCGCTAAAGGCCATCGCGCATGCGTTCTGGCGGTAGAGGACGCGAATGTACTTACCAGCGGAACCACTCGCTCGGGCCATCCCGCAAGTCGAAACAACTCCAGCAGGAAGCCGTGCTCCGCCGAGGGGAACGCGGCCTCAAAGTCCATGAAGAATGCGATGGCGTCCGGGCAGTCGACCGCATCGACACACACGGCTTCCCCCGCGTCAATGCTGTCGGAAAGCATTGACCTGCCTTACAAGAACCCGCGCTGGTCCTTGGAAATGCTGGGAGCCAGGGTGGGCTCCAGCATGAACCGGACCGCGTTGGCGAGGATCCTGTTGTCTGCGTTGAGAACATTCAGCGGTCGAGTGGCACTCGCACTGTACACCGCGACGCCCTCGTCCGTGGCGCCCACCGCCTTCTTCGGCAGGAGGTGCAACAGGCTCTCACTGAGCTCGAACCCAAGGGGGGCGAGCTCGTCCAAAGCGTCGTCGTCGAGGAGCCCGTCGAACGCATCGACTAATAAGTCCACTGCGAAATCGTCGAAGAGGCGCCACACCTTGAAGGGGATGCCGTCTGGGCCAGGAGCAGCATTGCCCGTGAGTTTGAAAGCTCTACGGACATGGCGGCGACGGAGCCGGACTTGGGCAGGAAGGCCCAGCAGAGGGCCCTCAGCGGGGCGCGCGGCTTGGTCCCCCTCAGCGCGGAGCAGGTCAGAACTGTGACCCCGCTCCCCAAACGCAGATTTCCAGTGTGCTCGGAGAACGGCGGCCATGTCATCCGGACTCGTCTGAACGACGCCCGAGGGGTCCATGGCCGCCGCGATCCCCGTGGAGCGTCCAGGAGCGAGCCGATGAAGAAGGCGCGCCCCCCTCTTGCGAGTCCGCCGCGCCCGCGAGGCCGATGCGTCCACCGCGTCCTCCACGCCTCCCCCTTCCTGCCCAAGGTTTGGCGCAGCCGAGGCGGCAGCGAGCCTGCCCAGCGCGTGGTCACGAGCAAGATCGGCCGCGCCCTTCCGGAGAGCTCGGAGGCGAACGGACAGGTTGCCAGAGAAGTCGCGGGGGTTGTGGATCAGGTCGCCGAGGGGCGGGTAGCGGGCGAGGCACTTCGAGACCTCGCCCGGGAACCCGCACTCCATGGGGCGGATGAGCTTCATGGTGATGCCCAGCCTGTCCTCGCGGGACTCCGCCGACGGCGGGGTGGCGTGGTCCGCAGCGATGCGGCGGGCGACCTGTTTCGCTGCCTCCTTGAACATCTGGAGTTTGGCGAGCCCTGAAGTAGGGGCGGAGGCAGCGAGGCGGTCCTCGAACTCGAGCGCGACGCGCCGTTTGGAGCCAGGATGATGCACCGCGTAGAGAAGGACGCGCCGCGCGCCCTCCAGGCGCCGCTGCGGGGCGGTGCGAGGCACGAGGACGGGGCGGTGAGCGGACAGCTGGGGCTTCCACTCGAGGGCGACCGCGCGCAGCTGCCTGTCGAGCTGGTCTGTGACGCCATGGTTCATATATATATATATATATATATATACACACACACCCTATCCAACCTCGCCCTCGACGACGCCGAAGCATGAGTGGGTCCTGGTGGACGAAAGGTAAACCAAAAGATCGTCCCCAGACTGTTTTTTTGACTATTTTTGACTACTCCTCCTGTAGGGGTACACGTCTGACTTCAGCGGAGACGGGGCCGCACGAATGCGTCCCGCGCGAGACGTCCGCGAACGAAAAACACGCCCCGGATCCGCGCGGATGTCTTGGATCGGCGCCGGAGTCCGCCGGCGGCGCCGCCGGCGCCGCTCCATTCGCGCTCCACGCACCAGGGAGGGGGGTCCAGCGCCGATCCAAGAAATCAGCGCTGACGGCCGCGAAATTATGGAAAGAGCGCCAGTGGATCACCTTGGACTTTAAAAATG